TTATTTAGTAAGTATAGCTTCTTGGTTCAGTTTTGAAAAACAACTTTCAAGTCCATTCTCACTATGTATATCTCAGCATTTTCCATGGAAATGAGGTCAGTATGCCTGACATATGAATCCTGAGTTTAGCATTATATCTGTATTTTTAAATGGCTCATAATTTGGGACTAATCAGAAGCTCACATCTAGAACCAGATGAGCTACAATGGATTTACTCATCCTATTTTTTTTTAACTCAATATGTAAGGAAAGAGGTAAATGAAGGTTCAATTGTTCGCTGAAGTCAGTAATAGGGATAGCATGCAGATCTTCAAGTTCAACTGAAAGAAAATAAGAGCAAAGGAAAACATTAAGTTGAACATCATTGGGTTTGGGGAAATCCAGTGAAAAGTGACTGGCTCAAATGGAATTTGTCTCAGATAGTGAGATACATAACATATTTTTAAAGGGATCTTTTGATTTGGTTTTTAAAAAGATCAAGATCTAAGCACTAGTCATAGTTAAAATCCTAGAATCATACCACATAGAAGTGGAAAGGAAGATAACAAGGGTTTGTTTACAAATATCAAAGGAGAAAACAGAAAAGAATCTACCTAAACGCTACTTCAGAAGGTTTTTTGGAGACCTTTCTAAAGTTTACATTGTTCAACATAAACTTAAAAGTGGAAAACCAGTTCACATCCAGTATGATGGTATGGTGGTACCTCAGTTCATGAGCTTAATTCTTTCTTTGGTTGCAAACCAGATTGGACAGGAATTTGATTTCGTTCTCATGCAATTTGGTTTATGACCAGAATCATGGGAAGAACTGAGTTCAGAAACCAAGATAGCACTGTAGCTAGGAACTGAGGCTGATGTAAAAATAGAATGTGGGTAGAGAGCACATAGATTTTGTCTCGAAGGTTCCATCATCTGGAAAACATATGAATAAGGGACAACTTGTTAAAATATACTTTCAAAAGTTTAATTTTACTAATTTTAAAGCTGTTTTCTCCATGGAACATATATCCTAAAACTGAAGATGAATAGTGTGAGTGGGAACACTGAATGGTTTCTTACAATTCTCTAAAAGTATTTTATTATAGATCCATAGTTAAGGGAACTATTATTTGTCTTGTTTTAAGACCTGTTCTCTCATACTGGGTGAACAGATGAACTATTAACAGGCCTAGAGCATCAGTTTTCCTCCTGGTGCTGCATACTAAAGATTTTCCAAATAAGTTTTCTAAAGATTAGTAAGAACAAATTACTTTAGTTTGCTCTGTCTCTACCCACTCTTGCAGCCTTCTGCTAACTTCAATCAAAAGTACTATTCCACTGCTGTGAAGCAGGAGTCAGAGACCTTAGGCCAAGAAGTTGCATCTAGTAATTAAAAAAAATATATATCATCTTTTCTCTTAATTCAAGGGAAAAGGTACTAAGAAAAATCACAGGCCATTCACAATCCTTACACTATACACAGTCCTTGATTTTTATTAGATGGCATGTCTAGAAAGTTATAATAATGCCTCTCTTAAAACTCATGTAAAAAGATAAATTTTCTCATTATTGTTCTGACACTAGAACATTTACACTAAAACAATTTGCACTCTTCCAAAATTTACAGGAGAAAATCCATCCCTTAATGTTAGAGATGGAGAGAGAAGTGTCAGTTTTTAAAAACTCAATACATGTGGGGCTGGGGACTCAGCTCAGCGGCATAAGCACTTGCTTGGCAAGTGTGAGGTCGTGAGTTCAATCCCCGGCACTGCAAAAAAAAAAAAAAACAAAAAAAAAACCTCAATACATGTGCTTGTTCTGACAGGATTGTGACTTTATGTGAAAACTTTTCCCGCCTGGACCATTCCTAGCCTCAGCTTCTTCAGCTTTACAGTAACGTCACTAAAAACAATGCACTCATCTGGAGACTAAGGTCTCTCCCATTCCTGCTATTTGTTGTGTGGTTTGGGTCAAGGTCTTATTATCTGTGGATCAGTTTCATCAACTATAAGTGTCTGGCAGAATTAGAATTAAGACAAAGCAGAAAAAGAATAATTACCAAATCATTACTATGGTTTTCCACATACTTTGATCACTCTTGGAAGTATCTCACTCAATAGCCTCACTTTGGTTTGGGTCTTTACAGTGGGTCCAGCATGGCATGGCCAAAGAACTGCAGCCATGTTCTCATAATTAAGAAGAGAAAGATTTACTTCTATTATGGAATCAGCGCTCTACATTAGAAAAATCTTATTAAATATAAATGAAAATGCATGGGTAAGTGGATTGTAAGTGGGTAAGAAAGTTTTGAATAAAACTGCCATCTAACTTTTGCAGTCTGTGAAATTCTTCTTTAAGTGAATAAAGGTGTAGAGCAACTCTCTATTAGCTTGTTCAGCACCGAACATCAACCTGACACTTAGAATTAAATTAGAGAAACAAAACTGGATACTTTGAGACTTAAGGGCTGATTATACCACGAGAGCTAAAAGTGGATTTAAACTCTTCCTTATCCCACTTAAATCTAACTAGGTATAAACTCTCCATTACTAAGGAATAGAGGTGTGTGTGTAGAGGTAGAGGTTCCCCTTGATGTTCTTGGACAAGGAAACCTAATCCGTTTTTCTGACACACATGGTTGCAATAGAAACCATTCTGCAACTGCCAGTCTGGTTTTAATCTGTTGTTTCTAGCAGGAGAGGATTGTCAGGGAATGTTAAGAAGGGAGCAAAATTATCAGAACTTAACTATAAAATAAAAGTGTTGATGAGAAATCAAATTTTAAACAAGTGTTCAAAACTGTAAGCATGAACATATGTAGTCATACAATGAATAAGAACTATGCATTCTATACAGTTTTTAATCTTAAGTAAATCTAAAGCTTACTTTTAATACAGTTATATCTCTTTTTGCTAGAGTTCTTCACTTATCCAAATGATAGCTGTGGGGTAAAATATTATCCTCAAACACAGTTGTTAAAATGACACGGTAGGAGAATGTGAAAAATTCATTGGTGAATTTTCAGTATAACCAAATTTATCAGTGTACAATATAAACTTTTAAAATGTTAACCATTTTGCATGGAAACATTTCAGAATTTCTATTTAAAGATACACAAACATGTAATGTTTCTCTGAAGCTTTATGGCTACCTTTATTAAAATAAACTAAATGTATAGTACTCTTCCTAAAAGTTAGAAGATGGTTGTCTTTTGTTCAATCTTTTCCCAATATCAGAATGTTATTGTGAAAGAGCACAAAAGCAGGTAGAACGGGTTCACATTCCCCCAACCCCCAATACTGGGGATTCAACCCAAGTCTTCATACATTATAGGGAGGTAACTACTCCATCTCTGAGCTACACCTCCAACCCGCTTTACTTTTATTTGGAGACAAGGTCTCACTAAATTGCCCAAGCTGGCCTGGATCCTTCTGCCTCATTCTCTAAGAGTAGCTGAAATTATAAGTGTGACTGGTTTACTTTTACCAGGTTCTGTACTTTATTTTGGGGGGAGGTCAACCTTCCTTCTGGCTGTTAAGAGCAGTACACCAATCTTTGACAGTGAGCTTGAAATTTGTTAAAATCAAATTTATATTTTAAAGAGGTAACTATTCCATCTTAGGCACTACACAGATGCTGAGGAAAATGTAACAATTGTAAAACTGTTATAAAATAATTATAAACTCTGTAGCCCTTGTCCAAAAACAACATGACACTCCAGAATCACATGATCACTGTGGTGTGAAGCATCATTTTTTTCTAACAATGGCTTATGATTTAAAAACTAAGAAATTGATGTAATCAGATTTGTATTCTGATAAATTTTAGTGGGTATATGCCATGGAAATATCATCCATAAAATATGATCAGTTATAGTATATGAGTCTCAGAAGATAAAACTAAGAACTACTTAAAGGGAGAGTATGCTACCAACAGTTTCTGATGCACCAGTCTGATTGTTAGGTTTTATTTTGAAATATGGGTAATTGGAAATATCAGAGGTTTAATCTTGCTAACTCCCAGATCATCTCCTGCCTCCAGGCTGTAGACTCATGTATCCATTAAAAGGTATCGCATTTGTAAGTATACCAGAAACCTCAGATTTAATAAACAGAACAATCCATTTTGTTGATGAATGAAATTTGATTTCCTTACCCTTTTTCCCCCTTCATCCCCGTAATTACTTGTTTACTTCTAATTACATCAATTATGCTTAACTTCACCAATACATGGTATGCTTACAAGATATTTTTGGTTTTATTAAGTTCTATCTTAACAATGTAGCCGTCACCCCTGAATAGAACAGGTATCTCTGGTACAATTTATTTTCTGCCTTCCCTGTGTTGATTTCCAATATTTACAAGTTGGCTGAAGAGAACACAAAAAGGAATTGTGATAAATCCCTCGGAGAATATTATTATATATAATTATTTACATACATACTTTTACTGAACGATTTCGGTTTACTAATAGAAGCAAGAGAGCTCTATTAACATGTCTGTAATTTTAACAAATTTCTCCCATCATCATAGTCTTCCCTCAATTCCCCCGGAACAAGAAGCAGCACTTCAGTCCTATCCTTTCCAAAGCTGGAATTTGCTTTTGTAACAGCTTATCAAGGTCGATCATTTATCTGCTGCCTTGAAGGCTGCGCACTTCTTGAGGGTAAGATTACTACATATCCTTCTTTATACCTTCATTCAGTGTCTCATCCAAGGCCCAGTGCTAGACAAAGTTTGCAGATGGAACGGATAGCACACAAGGTTCCAAAAAGCCACTTACTGACCTCTAACAAAACTGGGAGCCTGCCTTTCCAGAGAAAATTCTTAAGAGCGGTCTCTGGATCGCTAGCTTCAGACAGGCAATCTATTTGACTTTCTCATTTTTAGGCCTCACTACTTATATCTCCAGCGACGGTTCTGCCCCCCAAGAAGCCTGCACAAAAACCAGGAAGACGCGAACACCGCACCCACTCCGTTCCAGATCCCACCTCTACTGGAAAGGACAGGCACACAGTACATGCGCATGCGCAACAAGCAAAAGGCTCAGTGAGACTGGAGCAGGCTCTTAGTGACGTCATCCAGGAAACGCCAGCTGCGCCCTTCTCAAGATGGCGTTACACGCAATGCGGAAAGCGCGTGGATGCAGGAGTGTCATCCGGGCACTTCACAAAGGACCCGAAGTTGCTCCCACTTCTCAGGTAACCGAAGCCGAGCCTTTTTACGCCGCCTTATTTCCTGAGTTTCTTCTTATTACTCCTTTACTTCCTCCATTCATCTTTTCCGGCTTCCTCGGGAGAGTACCAAGATGTCTTTCTCTTACGGTCCACGGGGAGAGTGGAAAGGTTGCAAAACGACGTAATGACGTAAAGCTTCCCTTCTGAAAGCATTGAGTGGCGCTTGATTCGCGTAGTCGCGAACGCAACTCGTTGCTGGGCAACACGGGAAACAACCTTGGTGTAAAAATTGTAAGAAACCAGGGGCCGTGTTTCCTCATGATTCCATTACTGCTCTTAGCCGCTTTTCTCTTAACAGCGAGCCAGGAGTATATGGAGAAATTAAAGAAGTCGTTTTAGAATCGTACGGTCTTAATACAGCCTAACGCCCACCCTCTCGCAGTAATGTTCATCTTTCACACAAGTTCCTCCCATTCACCCTTAGGCATACTCTGTCTAGCAGGTGAAAGAATGACAGCAAGCTACCAAATGCATCATCCCTTTATCATTTCTCTAGTCCTGCTAAGAGCGTGACACGCACTTCATTCCAGATGTATTTGGAATTTTATTTAGGCAAAAAAAAAAAATGGGTAATATCATTTCACTTGTTTAGACTTAACTGTTGTACATCTTCCAAGTGCAAACTCAGTAGTAAGCACTTTCACATATCCTGCTGATAATGTTAACATATGTAAGTATATTCTGAGAACTAAAGAGAAATTTGAAACTGATTATTAGGTAATTTCCTGACACACACCTTAAATGTTCATTTTCATTCATGTGTAGATATGACATGAAAATGTCATACTGTAACTGGTGTACTGGAAAAAGTACTAGACTTGAAGTTAGAAAATAAAATCCAGGGTTCTGAGTGCCACTTGATAGATGCATTACATGGCAAGTCACAGTCTCTCTGGGCTTATTTTCCTTGAAAGTCAGATGTAGGAAGAGTTAGACTGATTAACAGGTTAATGCATTTTTAATCTTTGGAAAACCTGTGGCTCCTAGACTATGAAGGTAAAATAAAACTAGTGAAAAATAGATGAAAACTAAAATTTATTTTTCTAATAATTCCATAAATTACTTGGGAAGAATTTGTCAGATTAGTATTTCTAAACCTGTAATTTAGCTTTGAACAGAAATAGAATTAAATGTGAGTTTTGATTTGTAAAACTATGTATACTTTCAGACATAGAAATGAGATTTTAAAAGACTAAAGTTCTTTGAAAGACTAATTGAGAAAAAACAAACTGTAGAATAGTTACAGTGTCATATATAAATATTCATATCAATGTGTATACACAGAAAAATAAGACTAGAAGGAAACAACCATTCTTAACTTTCTTCTTGTGCTTTGGTGTTCCTAAAAAGTAGATTAAAATTAATGTAAGTTTTCTTTACAGGTTATGTTTTACATGTTGTAAATTGAAGATGTATCGTTTTTACAACCAAAAATTGAAAACATAAATCTATACTAACCTGTAGTCTAATACTCTTCGTGTACTTTAGGTTTCTGAGAGAGAAACTTGTCCTATAATGCTGTTATTAAAATGACCTTAGAAAAGGACCACTAAAAATTTATGGGCACTTTTCCTGTGTGTATCTTCTTTTTCTCTTGAAAAGCTTTCTTTGAAGTCAAAGGGATTTTGTGAACAGATGCAGAAATATGTGAAGGAAGAATTGGATTCTTAAACCAGATGCATTAGACATTTTTATGGTATCTCATTGCCTTTGTAGAAAACAAAGAAATATTTTCCCAAAGTATAATAGAAATAAGTATATTTATCACATGGATGGCTTTATCAAAAATCAGGAAATAGCTAAGTTTCTTGTTGGTTTAGACTGTGCACTTATTACCTAAAGTGGGAAGCAAACCTAGATAAGCAGTAACAGTGCTTTGTAAGGAACTGTGATCAGTAAGAATATTGAGGTTTCTAAGTCATTTTATTGTTCGGGGAAATGTTTTTTAAATAGTGTCTTGGGTGAAAAATTTAGCATTGGTAATCTTTAATTATCTCTGGCTTTTGCTCTTTAAGGCTACATGTAAGTTCAAAATAGGGAAAAACGGGCTGGGGATGTAGCTCACTTGTGTAGAATGTAAGAAACTAATTTTATACTTGGTGTAAAATTATAAGAGAGTGGAGACCTGAAATATATATATGTGCACACACATACACACACACACACACACACACACACACACACAGAGTTGTCACATGATACCCATTGTAAGATAGTAACAATTTATATGAAAAAGGTTTATTTTGTCAGATGTTGCTTGACAGAAAACTGTTGAAATCTAAAGATGAAAGTCGTCACAGAGTCAGGATTGAAAATCTGATATGTTGTGTTTAGATGCTGATGGCATTAGGTAAATTTAAGCCTGCCATCATTGGCCAAACACAGAATCCATACTTCTTGAAGCACTAATTAATGATTGTATTGTACAGAGAGTTGTATAGTACATTTTTACAACTATTTATAGTTATTCAGTTAAAGTATAAAATGTCTCCTATTTAATGCAGTTCAACAGCGTAGTTCGCTTCAGTTTAGGATTGGTCAATCTTAATATGCTGTTTCTGCTTTTAACAATCACTAAGCATAGCCATTAGTTGAAGGAATGTTAACCAAAAAAAAGACACTCTATTAGATTTCTGATCTTGTATTTAGTTCTTAATACAAGACTTTTTATGATTTTTTAAAAAAAAATTTAGATCAACAAATTTGCAACATTCATGCAGGGAATTTAATTGACATTAAATTGGGGTAGTGTTCCAAGGGGCTTTTCTCTAAGCACTTCTTTGTCAGTATTCTCCGTACAAACTTGGTACATGAACTAATCATCATGGAAAGCGTTTGGGAATGCCCGTAACTAACTGAAAGTTTTGCTAGTTGGTACTGCTAGGTTGATCAAGTACTTTGTCTCTGTGCTTTTCTTAAAATTATACAGGAGGGCTTTAAGTGAATCCACTCTATAACTTGTTTTACTCTCAATCAGTAGGTCCCTTCATTAAAAATACTCTTTAGATTAATTGTCCATGTGAACTGACTTATATAAATACTGGCTAGTATTTCAATTGTTTAAAATTATCTCTGAGCTGCTAATGAAAACTACCAATAGTAACTGCTGAAATTAAGAAGAGGAACACTAGATAAATGATGAGGATTTACACTGGCAAATCTTAGGGTAGCTCCAGCCACAAATTGCCAGAGGATAACATTGCTGACCTCCAAATTCTGTCTCAATATAGTTACATAACTGCAAGTTACAGAAAAACTGTCTACAGAACAATATAGATATAGATGTAGCGATAGACACAGTCAGACATACACACACACAAACCTTGAAACCTTGGATTGCAAGTAACTTATTCTGCAAGCATTCCATAAGACATACAAATATTTCAGATAAATTCTAACTTGATAAATAAGCAATGTCTTGCAATAGCAATAGTAAGTGACACTGGATGTCACAGAATCACACCTGAGCCAATGATCCTCTTCTTTTTTTCTCACACTGTGGGATTATGAGTGATCATCACAAGGTTATGGAAGAGATCTCCTTTGTAGAGGAGGAAGTGAAAAAGGAAGAAGAATCTCTCACTTCATATGTGATTTGGGAGATCTGTAAAATGTAAGAAATAATGCCAAATTTGTAGAAAAGGACCACCTGAATAAGGTTGTAGCAGTGTAAGTGATAAATCTGTGTAATGACAATGCAATGTTACATTTCTATGTAATTCTCAAAAAGAGAGAAAACAAGTGTTATTAGATAGGTTCCATGTGAAAGTTGTATGTAAGGAAAAAAGATTCTGTTGGCCCAATAGAGAACAGAGGTTCCATTAGTGTGACTATCCTGTCTCTTCTCTCTTTCACATTAGCCATGAAGGGTTTCAAAGGTAAGTGCAGGTTAATTTATTTATATTTATGTTTTCTTTATTATTTTGTGTATTTTAATATTGTAATCATTTTTGTATGAATATTTTTGAGTTGTGGGATGAATCATCCGTTGTTTCCATTCTTTCTTATGGGACATTTTTCTTTGATATACAAATGCTTTTAAGCATCTTTCTTGAATAAGATATGTTCACAAACCAAGATATATAGTTACATTTGTGTGCATATATTTATTTCTATATATCTTTCAGGAAGGAACTAAAATTTAAATAAGGCCTACTACGCTCAAAAGCCCCATGCTATATGCTATACATACTTTATCTTATTAACTTCTTCCAACATTTCTGGAAATATTATTCTCCTGGTGTTATAAAAGAGGAAACTGATATTCAGAGAGATTAGGTCATTTTCTTGAAGTCACGGCCAGTAAAGAGCTCCAGGATTCAAACCCTGCTTTGCTTATGCTTTTTCTTATTGATCAGTAGTCATCTCTTGTCAAATGAATTTTTACCTGAATACCTGTTAGATAAAGCACATAGAAATATAACCTTCCTGGTTTAAGAGGTACAGAATCTGTTTGTTCAAGCCTCACCTTCTCCATCCCCTACTGCACCCAAACCAGGGGCCTCTGAGATAGTGCTACACAATCTTGCATCTCTTAAGATGTAGTTTGAGAAAAACTTCAGCTTGCTTTTCATGGCCTTGTATTTCTCAAGATGCAGTTTTTTTAAAATTGGCTTTCTTAAACATCAAAGTGAGTCTGTTAAGATCATGTGTAATTGGTAGATTATTTTTGAGAAGTTCTATAAAAGTGATTTGGGAGTATTAAGATTGTTATATATATGTTTTATGACTAACATATAATATTTTTGTTTATGTTAAGCTATATAAGTACAAAAATAATAGGAAACATTTTTCTTTCCTTCTTTATTTTTCCACAATTTATTTCTACATAAGTATGCCGATCTTTGGGCACAAAGATGATGCTGTAGATGCACAGGTGCACACTAAGCCACTCTACTCTGTCTACTACCTCTTCACAAAGAACACTCACTCCATTCTGTTCTTGTTTCTGTTCTACCACCACT